CAAATAAATCTAACATTCAAGCAAAAAGTTCGTCTTCAATAAGGTTCAACCACGGAGTTAAAAAAAAGACATTTTTACCTCACAGGTCATATATTCTATTTATTCCAGTCATGGAGGTATAAACATATATTATTTTATGTTTATACAGTACCTCCATGTTCAGGAATAGTTATCTATATGCCACCTTCCACGTTTACGGCATGCGTTGAAAATCTTACACAGGGCTTACCTGAATATTGGTTGTTATTCTGCAACCCATTTTATAAGGCCTTCAATAATATAACGAGGAAAAGACAATCGAGGCAATCATTCAAAATTTTATAGTCCATTCCTGGTCATGACCTCGGGCCGAGCGTGTGTGTTTTCCCTGTCACGTGTTCCGATGTATAATTTGTTTGCGATAAACACACACTGATCATAGTAAGTGTTAAATCACGCCAGGGCGATTACAACGACCTTCTCACGAGACTTTGCGATAAAACCTCGCCTATCCGCGATAAACTGACTTCATTACCTTTACTCCCATGCCAGTGGCGGATCCAGAGGGGGGGGGGGCAGGGGGCCATGCCACCCCTAAACGCATGACGATTCATATCATCTGGATTACGCATACTAGTAGCTTCTCTGCGATTTTCGTTCCGTAATGTTAAGCGAAGCTTCCCCCCCCCCACCCAATCCCCCACCCAATACATTTTACTGTCCCATGCTGACATCAACAGAGCGTGAACATCGTAACTGTCCAGTGATTCTATTTAAGCCAAGAAGAGTCTGATGTTTACAATCGTAAAGCCCGGGGCAATGAATACAAAATTCAATTCAATTGGACATTTAGGAAGATTTATGCATTCTCCCCATAATGGTTTTGCCCTGTACTAATAGTTCCACATTATCTAAATTCTACCCAAGTACTCAGGTACAAAGTACGAATTGACCAGACGTTCGCAGTACGAACGTAGGTTTGGTGGCGTATTTATGGTACGAAGATTTAATATATAGATTGACACAAGCACTTTTAAAATCTATTAATACAACACTTGTTATTTAAAACACCCATGCAACTGTCCTTTATAATGAGAATTTCAGGCAACCCCTCAAATGCTTGTAGATTACCTATATATAAATATATGGGCAATGTTATCTATAGAGGGATTGTGGTAAAACGTATTCTATAGGAGAAAACTGTAAGAAATTGTTGTAGCACTAGACAATAACACTTCCACAGATGGTCAACTCGGCTGTCATAATCTTTAAAATAAACGATGGTAGCATCTTTGTTGATGTTAAACTTGCAGAAGCCCCTCCTACACAACAACGCTATACAATGGCCCACGGTGCCGATGTTGTGCCCTTTAACCGGAAGTGTACCTGCCTGATTCCTAATAATATACATGTATATCTTCTTTTCTGATAGTTGAGTACCACTATCGACAATCAACAGAATGTTTTAGGGCCGAGGTCTGCTGGAGTCCGAGGCACACAAGGTCGAGAATAATGGACCAATGATCTTTAGATATCAAAATCATAGTGAACTACCATTTGCAATTCACCACAAAATGTCATTTAGTATTCTTCACTTAGATCATGTGACAACAAACTTACTACTTAATAGTAAGTACGGGCAACGAAACAGTTCTTTCCTAGTACAATGTAAACGGGCGTTGTTTAGAATAAAGAAACTAGCGAAAACTGATAAAGGATGCTTGACCAAAACTGTCTACGGTCGAAACTAAACACCAAACTTAGAACGATCGGCAAGGCGCAGGTTCGCCACAACTCTTATAACAACCACGTGACAGTCCTACGCCAATCGCTAATCTTACACAATCTTCAAGTTCGTATTAGCGACACGTGTTGTGAAAAGCTTTTGATACTCAACAAAGGTCATAACAAAATTTGCATATTTAGTAAAGGGAGATAGTGGCAATTACGTAATCTGGTGCTTGTTCATACTTTAGTTATGCAGGCCCAATTTTGGGATTAAAATTAGGGCCTTCCCTGGCACCACTTCCCGGGCGTGAGTTATTCAGGCCGTTCTAAATATTTAGGTTCGTGTTCACAGACGAAATTCAGTCAAGCCTTAAAATTGGACAACCTTGTGAAACCACTTTTTATATTTGACCACCTAGGTGTGTGTTTATGTGAGACACGTGATGCGTTCCCAAGAACAAATAGATTTGATGGTCAACCTAGGGGGACATTTGGCATTTAAAAACAAAATTTATCAGTACAGGAGGACAGTAACCAGGACAGTAACGACCATAGACATCCCGTAACAGTTCAGTGCCACAATCTTGTTTGGAAGCCAGGGAAGAAAATATGGCATCGAAACCAAAGCTAGATATCGTCGTGGTCAGTGACGTTGTATGACCCTTCTGTTGGCTCGGGAAGAAAAAACTCGAGTCCGCAATGCGTAAATCGGAGGGTGAGTACTGTCTGAGTATTGGCATTGCCATTGGGGCGGTTTGCTTGACCGTTGTGTACCCTTGCCCCATTATAATACAGGGCAAATAGACTACCGTCACGAGACTTTGCGATAATAATTCCTACTTCATCAGTTACACTTGCGAATTTGAACACGTGTAATGTTAACTCTTTATCATTGGTCACGTGATCATTGGTCAATACAATACAAGCGTTTTCACGCGAAACATGTATTTTTAGTATTTGTGTATATTATATAGGTGAAAATATTATAACTATATAAAATGTATTTTAAACACAGTCGTCAATATTGAAAAAAATATTCGGTACTTAATAGTCATTCTTTATCAATATGCATTTTGCTTAACTTAAAGGTCGTTTTGTAAGACTGCACATCCACTCTCAAAAACACACGAGTTAGGATTATCCTGCGATCAAACTTGCCATGTAACTGTGCTGGGTTTCCTTGTCTCGTCCTAGTTGTGCGCTGGTTTATTGCATTTTTTCGTTTTTTTTGTTTTGATTTTTTTAATCTTTGATTCGCCACGAAATCTGGATAGTGCCACGTGGTTCAGAAACCAACACACCGGCAATGTAAGAATACAATGTCATTTCCATCAACATCCGAACGTCATGCCGACGATAGATAGTTCAGTTCATTGCTCTGCTTGTTTGCTCATCTACGTAACAAGTACTAGTATCCTTGGGAAAACAGTAAAGTAGTTCGGAAATTGGATGAAACTACAAATAATTTAGTAGTTATTACGTAAGACGGCACATCTGTTGTATTATGTATGCTTGCATTTTTTAATTTGTAATTTAATTTTAGTCACTGTGGGCGAAATATTTATCCTTTATTGTTTTTCTTTCTAACATATAATTATTTTGTATGTATCTGGTTTTCAGACAAATATGACTTCTGTGTTCGCTGGGATCCGTTTTTTCTTTCGCCCGACACGCCAGCTGGTGGCATCCCCATGCCAGATGACTTTTCGTCGGCCATTGCGAGGTAATACTGATCTCGTGTCGCATTTCAATCATCTTCCTCATTTGAGTCATGTGGTGAAATGTACCACGTAACACAAATAACTGTTGCGTGTGACGTAACCTGGCGCATACCGGTTTTATTATTCTAAGGATGC